GACGTCGCCACGCGCCTACGAGCCACCGTCGCAAGAGGAAGGGCCCACGGGCCCAGGTGTCACCTGGAGTTCATTCTGCGAGACCGCCCAATACAGCACGTGGGATGCGTGGTGCGCAGGGCTTCGGGCGCGCTTTGAGCCGATCGCGGCTTCTATTTCGGCGCGTCAGAGATTGCGCACTTGGCGGCAGCTTGGATCGGTTCAAGACTATACGAGTGGTTTTCTCGCATTATGCGAGCAAGTCGGCTACATGCACGAAGCGGAGCGGGTGGACCGTTACGTCGGAGGGCTGAAGCCGGACATCTCGCACGAAATCATGCTACGCGGGCTCTCGAACTTCAACGAGATTCTCGTGCTCGCCGAGAAAATCGACATTTTACGCCGTCCGAGACCGGGGTCCTACTATGGACATCGTCCTCGGGGACCGATCGAGCACGCCACTGTACACGCTGTTGCGACGAATGCAGCTGCCGCGCCATTTAAGGGGCGTTGCTTTGCTTGCAACAGGCCGGGCCATCGCAAGAGCGAATGCCCAGAGGAGCTAGGCGCCGCGGAGCAGAGCAGGGGAGGGAGTCTCCAATGCAGGGAAACGCCAGCAGTCAGTAGGAATCGGGCCAACTACTGACGAGACTGCCTGCTCGCCCAACCCCACCGACCCTCACCGAGTCACAGTACCGATTCATGCTATCGATCGGACTCGGACGAATAAGGAGGGTACAGCGACGGATTGCCCAGTACTGATCCACGGGAAAATACAGGGAGCAGCAGTGAAGATTTTTATCGACGGAGGAGCAAGCCACGGTTTAGTTAATACCGCAACCGCACGAAAACTGCAGCTGACACTTAGCCGTTGCTTACCGGAGATAGACGCACGCTTAGTCGACGGCACGCCACTGGCCATACGGGAAAAGGTAGAGAGAGTCAAAGTCCGCTGCGGGGGAAATTTCGGGTTTACACAGGAAATGCTCGCAACGACACTGGATGGGCACGATATTTTACTGGGACGTGATTGGCTGCGACGGTATAACCCGCGAATTGACTGGACGACGGGTAGCTGCACTGTGCGAAGTAGTGGTAACTGGGTCGAGTTACCTCGCTGGCAGTCGCCCGAGTCTTCAACGGTACACGTCAACGCCATCACAATGAAACGGGCTGTCGCTGCTGGAGCTGACGTGTACGCAGTAGACATCGCAGTAGTAGAGGAAGCAGAGCAGCTGAGTGATTTCAAGAAACTGCTGGCAGCCGTACCGCCCGAATTACAGGAACTGTTGAAACGGTACCCCGGGATTTTCCCCGACGACTTACCGGAAGGACTGCCACCTCAGCGAGCACATGACCACCGAATCGAATTAGAACCGGGAGCACAGCCAACCGTACAGCGCCAGTTCAGACTGACACAGCCCGAGCTCGACGAACTAAGGAAGCAGTTAGATTACCTGTTAGAGAAAAAATTCATCAGACCGAGCTCGTCATCGTTCGCCGCACCGATACTATTCACGCCGAAAAAAGACGGGGGTTTTCGCATGTGTATCGACTACAGAGCACTGAACAGGGTAACATTCAAGTCGCGGTACCCCATTCCCCGCGCCGACGAACTGATCGACCAACTGCGAACAGCACGGGTTTTTTCGAAGATAGATTTACGGGGAGGTTACCATCAGATTAGGGTCGAACCATCGGACTGCGCCAAAACAGCTTTCAGGACTAGGTACGGGTCGTTCGAGTACACTGTGCTGCCATTCGGGCTTAACCGTTTGTACGTCGTGTCGTTGTACGTTGTTGATCGCACCGGCGACTTTTCAGATGACCATGAACGAGGCATTTAGGCCGCTCTTAGATAAATGTGTAATAATTTACCTCGACGACATCCTAGTGTACAGTCGGGATAAGCAGCAGCACTTAGCAAATCTGGAAGCAGTGTTTAAGGTTTTAGACGAGCACAGATTACTGACCAAGGGTTCCAAGTGCGAGTTCTTCCAGGATAGGTTAGATTTTTTGGGGCACGTTATTTCGGAGGCTGGAGTTGAAATCGACCCAAAAAAGCTGGATACGGTAAAAGCGTGGCATCCCCCGACGAACATCACGGATCTGCAGAGCTTTTTAGGGTTCGTTAATTATGTGCGTCGGTTCGTCCCCGATATGGCACGGTTAACTGCCCAAGGGTTCCAAGTGCGAGTTCTTCCAGGATAGGTTAGAATTTTTGGGGCACGTTATTTCGGAGGCTGGAGTTGAAATCGACCCAAAAAAGCTGGATACGGTAAAAGCGTGGCATCCCCCGACGAACATCACGGATCTGCAGAGATTTTTAGGGTTCGTTAATTATGTGCGTCGGTTCGTCCCCGATATGGCACGGTTAACTGCCCCACTGACGGATTTACTGCGGAAGGGGGTCGCTTTTACGTGGGGGGAGAAAGAGCATGCTGCCTTCTCTGCCCTGAAAAAGTTCTCTGTTCACCGCCCGTCCTGCGCATCGCCGACCCACACCGCCCATTCGAAGTAGTTACCGACGCAAGCGATATCGCCATCGGAGCCGTACTGCTACAGGATTTCGGCAATGGCCTACAGCCTATCGCATACGAGTCACGAAAACTGCATCCGCCCGAGAAAAATTACCCGATACACGACCGCGAAATGCTTGCGATCGTGCACGCGTTCAAAGTATGGCGCTGTTACTTGACTGGCGCGGACGTGACAGTACGGACAGACCATAAATCACTACAGTACCTTCGCGCACAGCCACACCTCAACCCACGTCAGATTTGCTGGCTCGATTTCCTCGAGTCCAACTTTCACTACACGGTCACTTACAAAAAGGGAGCCTCGAACATTGCCGACGCACTGACCCGCCCCACTGCCCAGATCCACGCAATACTACTTGCCCAGACAAGCCCGCTACTGACAGGCCTATTCACCCACGGGTACCAAACGGATAACACGACGTACAACGACACGAGGCATCGTGTCCCACTTGTCAGCTCATGAAATCATCACGACAGCGGCCGGCGGGACAGTTGCAGCCGATACCACCCCCAGAGCGTGCTTGGCAGCAGGTGACGATGGACTTCGTCACGGGGTTACCAGCCGGGGCGAGTGGGAACGACGCAATCCTGGTCGTCGTCGATCGACTGACGAAAATGGCACATTTCGCAGCCTGCAAAAAATCAATCACAGCCGAAGAAACAGCACGCCTCTTCATCTCCACTGTCGTTCGACTGTACGGGATACCAGCCGCGATCATCAGCGACCGCGACACGAAATTCACCAGCAACTTCTGGCGGAAGCTGTGGCAGCAGTTCGGCACGCGAGTGCAGTTCAGTTCATCATACCACCCTGAAACCGACGGACAGACAGAACGGACAAATCAGACCATGGAACAACTCATCAGGGCCACGTGTGACGACCCGACCACGTGGGAACAGCAACTGCCACTAATCGAATTCGCGTACAACAACTCGCCATCCGCCACGACCCAACAGTCACCATTTTACCTAAACTACGGACAAGACCCGACAGTACCCATGACCCCGAATCCCGACAACCCAGTACCACGAGCACAACAGTTCGCCGAAATATTACAAGCGGCACGGACCCGGGCAGCAGACGCAATAAAAAAATCGAACATCATCGCTAAACGCAACGCCGACCGCCACCGCAGACCTGTCACTTACCAGCCCGACGACTTAGTTTTACTTGACACTCAGAACCTCCGACTGCCCATCACCCCGAAACTCCGCCCCCGATACTGCGGGCCATTTCGCATAAGCCACATGCTTACACCCGTCACCGCCCACCTCCTCCTCCCTGCTGACTGGTACGTCAGCCCCTCATTCCACGTCAGCCTACTTCGCCCTTACGTCCCGTCCACGAGCCAACTGCCACGCAATCGCCCAGCCAGCATGACAAGACCACCAACTGAACCAATCATCACCCCCGAGAAAATCCTGAGTCACAGAGTTCGCGACCCTCGAGGAGCCCGAAGGATCGAGTTCTTACTCCGCTGGAAGGACCGTACACCCACCGAAGACAATTGGGTTCCCCTGGACAGAATCGAAAACCACCCCGTCCTCACCGAGTATCTGCGCAGCCGAAATTTCAGGGATGTATACGCACTTTCGTAAGGAGGACCTCCTTAGGGGGGGGGGTAGTGTAAGGAAAATTCCTTTTACTTACTTCGCATCCCTGCTCAACGCGTACATCACTGTAGCACCACAGTCAGCACCGTTACCACTCGCAACCCTCGCATCGACAATCCGCCCGCCACCTTCGCACATCACACCCCGACCTCACGGCTCGGCGGGTAACCCGCGCTCCGGGCCTCCGCTTCGACACTTTTCCCAACCTCAGTCCCAGGCCCGTCGCGCGACAACCACAGTCCATTACCGTTACCACTGTAGCTTCGCTATATATTCTTCGCTCATGCCTCCACTCATTGGACTCTTGCTTCGATAGTGCAATTCTCGTTCGTTCACTCAATTGCACTCGTAACAGTGGTCTACGTTGTGCATGGCCATATGGCAATCACTAGTAACTCAGGACATGGTGCAGTTCGCATCGTTTCGACCAGTTTGGATCGTGTCATTTGATCTAGGTTGGGAATTCCAGATCATTGCACTAAGACCGATTCTTCTGATTCTTCTACGTACGTTCGCTGGCATTTTTGGCGAGAAATCGCGAAAACTGCGCGGTACACATAAGATTGTTACTTCAGGCCAGGAACCCCCGAACCAGCGATCACAATCGAGCGCAGTCGATTGCGTCAGATCGAGGCTATCAAGGCATCAGTCGCAATCAAGAGATTGCCCCGGATCGCCAAAAAAGGGTCATATGGTTTCTGGAGATTTTTGAATCGCTAAAGATCGCGTCAGTTTGACACGATCGGAAACAAGGTGCACCACGCTCCTCAAGTTCCACTCCATCACACTTGGGTAGCTCGGCCGTGAATAGCAGGCTTTGGAGACTCTGTTCACCCCCGTCGATCGCAAGCACTTCACGTCGCCATCATGGTGAGCCGGCGGCCACGCGCCAGCCGTGGGCCATTGAGGTAGCTGGACTTTGTGGGGGAACAGGGGGAGAGGGGGGGGACATCTCTTCAGAATTCGTTATGCACTAAAGTACCAGCAGTGCAAATAGAGGGGTTCGATTGGGGAGGACGGATAGATGGTGCTGAGGCTCCCAACATATCTGGATGAGTTCGCCGATGCGCATGAATATCGATTAGTTCACAGTTCCTTTTTTTTTTGGGTTAGGTTGTGTGGATTTGTCCGAGAACTTGTACTACGCTTGCAATTTGCGGCGGGAGTCTTGCCTTGTGCACCCAACAACAAGCACTTCCTTCCACACATTCACCTGCGTTCGTACCGCGCTCATCCCTGTCCCGTGTGCCATCATCTCGCAGGGGCCCAGCCCAGTCCCCTCCGCCCACCGCGCCACGTGCGACAGCAGCCAATTCTCGTCGTTGCAGCCCGCGGCGGGCGGCGGACAGCGGCAGGCGCGGGGCCAGGGGAAGCAGCAGCAGCAGGTGCAGTACACGCGGCGGCAAGTGAGCGCTAGCAGCAGCGCTGCCAGCGGCAGCAGTGGCAGCAGTGGCAGCAGTGGCGGCAGCAGTGGCAGCGGTGGCACGCACCCCTCGGGCAGTGAGGACTGGGGGAGCCATGACACGGATGAGTGTGAGCGGGGGGGCGAGCAGGAGCAAGTGGTGAGCACGAGGTACACTTGGAGGTGCGGACGGTCTGGATCCGATGCTGTGGTTGGGGTGGGGAGGGCTGCAGGGAAGGAGAGGGCGGAGAACGAAGGGCTGATCCTGGCCCTTGGTTGCGTTGATGCGGGTGGTGCAGGGAATGGGACTGGCGTGCAGGTGCAGAGTCGTGGCAGGGGAGGCAGTGCTGCCAGGGGGCGGAAACGGAAGAGTGCAGCAAAGACGACATGGGGGAGGGGGAAGAAGGCGAGGAGCGCAAGTAAGAAGCGCCGCAGCAGAGCAGGTAGCAGCGATGGGTCAGATGGTGGGGAGGAGGACGAGGATGCAGTCAGCGAGGAAGATGGGGAGATGGATGAGGGGGGTGGGACGCAGGAGGCGGAGCACGAGGAAAGGGATGCGGGCGGCGAGGACGATGGGGAGAGCGGTGAGGAGGATGGGACGCAAGAGGAAGGCGAGGAGGAAAGCGAGGGGGACGAGGAGGACAGGGAGGGGGACGAGGAGGACAAGGAGGGGGACGAGGACAATGAGAAGGCGGTGGCTCAAGTGAAGCGCATGCTGAAGCTGTACAGCCTGTTCAACCGGCGGGCCATCAAGGTGCGCTGCGAGGGGCATGAGGGAGAGATGGGAACTTAGTTGGAATTGACGGAGCCAGCGTTTTTTACGCTGGCGTTTTGACGCTAGGTTTTTGACGCTGCTCGGAACCCTCCTAGAGTTTGACGTGGTTTGACGCTCTGGCGGGCAGACGGAAAAAACCCTTCGGGCAGCCAAAAAAAACCAGGGGTGGTTGAAGCCATGGCGGTAGGCTATCGCCCAACCTAAGATCGCGCTCTATGCTAGCAACGGGAGAATGTTGCTGGTCGAAACCCTAGAATGCAGTCGAGTAAGTTGACTGGGCTAAATGTGTGTGTTTTGGTTTGGTGATGTAGATGTAGTGCGGTGGAAAGGGGTGGGTGGGTTGGATATTGTTGAAGTGCTTTTTCTGTCTTGTCGAGTGAAACCTGGAGTCGCGATTACGGCGCGAACTCCCGACATGTGTTTTTTTGGCCGATTTATGTTCGATTTCGGGCTGCCCGAAAAGTTCTTCAGGACCGTCCAGCGTCAAAACGCTCCTTCTTGACGCTGGACGCTGGCCTGTCCTAGCGTCAATTCCAACTAAGGGTGGGAGGGCATGAGGGTGAGGTGGGAAGGCATGAGGGTGAGGTGGGAAGGCATGAGGGTGAGGTGGGAAGGCTTGAGGTGAGGTGTGAGGGCATTAGGGAGAGGTGGGAGGGGCATGAAGTTAGAGGTGGGAGGGGCATGAATGTGAGTTGTCGAGGTCAGAGTGCCGTGACAGTGGTCTTCTGTTCTTTGATGCGTCGTCTATGTGCCTGTTGAGAATTGCTGTTTTCGAACCGCTAGCCTTAGAAGTGTCTACGAACGATCTGAAGTATTGATTCTAAGAGTCTACCATGCTGCTTCTCTTACATGCTGTTTCTATGCCCTGCTGCTTCTGTTTCCTGTTGCTTCTGTTCCCTGCTTCTCCTGTGTCCTGCTGCTTCTGTTCCCGGTTGCTTTCGATGAACTTCTGCATGTGAAATATGCCCGCATGCTGTGCACGGCAGACGGAGGATGACCGCGTGACCAAGGAGCGCAGGAGGCTGGGGTTGATTGGCCCCAACGATGAGCCGATACCCAAGAGCAAGCTCAAGGGGAAGGCCAAGAACGTGCGGGTTCCCAGCAAGCGCCCCGACCTCGTTGCCCTCAAAGTGGTGAGCGCAGTTGCTGCTGCTGCAACAAGTGGTTTAGTTTGAGCGCTGGGATCATATGTTCTGAATGACTGGCTGCACACGTGTTAGTTGCTCTTTGATTTTGAACCATGCCCTGTGACACTCTCCTGTATGGTCCACATGGACCAGACTGCTGCTGTTGTACATGGAATGGAGCACGCACATTGATACAACTGCCAAGGTGAGTGTGCATTGCAAGTGTTGCTCGTAACATAATGAGCAAGCAATTTCATGAGAGCACAAACCAATGTGCCGGTGCAAGCAGTGAGATGAGATGAGACAAGGCCAGCGTGCTCCTGAAGGCATTGCTCAACCGGCGCTTGCTTTGTGTGTGTGCTTGCTGGGCAGATGCTGGAAAAGGGGTTACTGCAGAAGACGAGAACTGTTGGCGCCATTGCAGGTATGCTGCCTCCGCCTCCTTCCCTGCTGCTTGCTTGATTGCCTTTCTGAGTTTTGCACATTGTTAGAATGTCACAGTCTATGTAGACACATCGGGGCAGGTAAGAAAAGAAGGGGAGAGGGGGTGGAGGGGGGGTGGAGGGGAGAGAATTGCTGGAAAAACGGGGACATGCATCACGTATTGCCGAAGATATCACAGTGCAAGTGCATCTGAAGAACAGTGTAGTGGAGTTTCAGGTCGGCGAGCACGGCGTATGGGTGGGGTGATGGGACGTTTAGGGTTTATAGGAAAGAGATAGGCGGACTTGAATAAGAGTGAGGTAATGCCGTGCTGTTTCTTGTTTTCAGATCTGAATTGGGTACTGCTGCTTGGGTTTCGTAGATTCGATGTGGGAATGAGAGGTTTGGGTTCAGGAAAGAGAGAGATGGGGTTTGCTTGGTTGGGTGCTGTTTGGCGGGTGGTTTCACGCGCTGGTAATCACGAAATTGTTTTTGGCCAAATTGTGCGTTTTCTTTCCGGGATGCCCCAAACCAAAAGGGGAAGCGAGCGTCCAGCGTCCAACGCTGTGTTCCGTGTCCAGCGTGCAAGCGCGAGCCCTCGGACGCCAGACGCTCCATTGCCTGCGAGTCCGATATGACTGAGGTCTTAGTGTTGCAGCTAGACAATTTTTAGCCTTCACGATTTTGGGAGGTTGAATGCTCGGCTCGGCCTGCAGTGCATGCCGTCTGAGCTGGTCTGCGGTGCATGCCGTCTGAGCTGGTCTGCGGTGCATGCCGTCTGAGCTGGTCTGTGATGCATGCCGCCTGAGCTGGTCTGCGGTGCATGACGCCTGAGCTGGTCTGCGGTGCATGCTGCCTGAGCTGGTCCGCGGTTCTTTCGCAACAACCCACGAGCTGCTCATAAGGCCGGGCCGCCGGGGTAGGCCCGGCTTTCGTCTTGGTTCGTCTCGTGTTCATTTATAAGAAGTGTGATGCTCGCTGTTTTCTTCCGAGAGAGAGAGCTATTCAAGCTGTTGTTGGGTACTTATTGTCCTTCAAGTTTGCTGGGGGTTCAGTTCACTAGTTTATTTATGAGTTATATGTATCTTTTTACATTATAGTAGTGTAGACATTAGTGTTGGGTTATGGGGTGCCCGAGTGACTTCATCAAGTGCTAGGCAACCCAAATTGGGCTGTGGGGCACCTCAGCACGTTTCCCGACCTTGGGGGCGCGGCTTCAACATTGGAAACGCGGCTCCAGCTTGGAATTCGCGTTTCGAATTCGTGGAATCGCGATTCCACTAGAGGGGGCGCTTCCAGGCCCACTTTGAGAGTCCCTCACGTTCCCATCTTGACTGTGGGCGACTTGAGCACTCATTTGTCCACCCCCCAAGTCCCTTGGATACCAATATTCTCACCTGGACAAGCCCAAGTCGCCTCCAAGCTAGCTCTCTTAATGCTCTGCCTATTTTAACTTATGTTTTGCTTGTATCCATCACATCAATTCACTTTTTCTCTAGAACCTTTCAGCAGTTCAGAATCAGCTTCTCTTTGTGCACAAGCATTGACTTCACATGAACACGGGTCGAACCTGAACTTGTACCTTTGGAGGAACTGGCTTTGCTGAGGCTGAACTTGGTTCGACTCAAAGCACGTGCTGTTTGGGTTGAGGTGGTTCAGGCTCGTCTCGGCCTCCCCTCGTTATGTTCGCAGCATGTGGATGTATTATGAGGTTATCCAGGCGGAGGGAAATGGCTACAAGGAAGGGGTCCCGTTGGAGATTATTAGGATGGATTGATGTGGACGAGCTGCGGCCAGCTTTATGTGATCCAAAAGCACGTCAAACCAGTTGGGTTTCACGCCTTGGCCGGTTCGGCTCGAACGGTTTGATCAATTTGAGTTGATACTGGTTTGGTTTGGCTCATATCGATTCGAGTTGAAACCGAGGTTCGACCTTTTGCTCGACTTTAGAATTCGTGAACATAAAGTGCATAACGTATCAACAAACAAGCGAGGAGAGGTGGCAGCGTTGTTCAATCCTGATGACTCTCCGTTGTTGTGCAGGTGTGCGTGTGGGCGATCGCTTCTTTGCTCGAGCCGAAATGGTTGTGGTGGGCTTGCACAGGCACTGGCTCAACGGCATTGACATCATTCCTCAAGCCGTAAGCACTGCTCCATCATGCTACCATGTGTTAGGCATGGTCAGTCGAACACGCAACAAGAGATGCCCATAAATAACTAGGGATGAGCAAAGTGCACAGCCCAGTCGACCCGGCCCGACCCAAGTTTTTGCATAGGTTGGACCGACCTTTATACCTAGCCTGGCTGGGTCGAGTCGACCCAAGACCCGATTTTATCGTTTTATGTTTGGTCAGGTCGACCTGGCTACCCGGTTCGGGTTGACCCGACTTTGGGCCAATTATGAAGAAATCGGGTTGGATACATGCCCGAGCTCAATTGTGTTGAAAACATTTCGATGTGAAAGTGGTTGGGCTGTGCTCAATGTTGATATTTGTAATGGTTGGGGAGTATGGGGGTTGGGTTTTGTGGATTCTGTGCGATAATGAGTGGTAAGCGGCGGTGAGCTGGCTGGGAACTTTCATTTCAACAATTTCGTTGGAAGGAGTGACTTGCTTCGCTCAGTGAGTGGCGTAAACGCTGATATGTGGAATTCGGCGGGTAAAATCGTTGATTTGCGTAGATCGGCGGGCAAAATCGTTGATTTTCGTAGATCGGCGGGCAAACGGGGGTACAGATACCCGACCTAGGGATGAGCAGAAAAACGAACATCTGTTCGGTTCGCCTCGAACTTTGCTTTAAGTGTTCGCCGAACAGTGTTCGAGGTTCGCCCGAACACGTTCGTGTTCAGGCCGCTGCTGCAATTTGTCCCGGGACGAACACGAACGTGTTCGAGGTTCGCTCGAACACGCCTTCACGGGCGAACGGCGAACACCTGTTTTTGCTCAAAGTGTTCGGCGAACCGAACACTGTTCGGTTCGGCAAACGGCTGTGTTCGTGTAGGGGCGAACACGAACATGTTCGTCTTCGCCCCTTGCTCATCCCTAACCCGACCCGCTTCCGGGTTGAACTCGCACGGAGGTGGGTTAGAAATGACCCGCCTCTGTAAGGCCGAGTCGGGTTTGCAATATGAAAAAAATGACCTGGGGGGGAACCCGACCCTAAACCCGACTGACCTGGCCAGAGCGTGTCGGGTCGATCCGGGTCGGGACTTTTGCTCATGCCTACCCACCATAAGTAAATCGGAAATGAAACAGAATCATTACCATACAACATGCGGCTACGCAAAATAGCATAGTCACTGCACTGCATAACCGCTAATCCTCGATCTCCTCCTCCTCCTCCTCCTCCTCCTCCTCCTCCTCCTCCTCCTCCTCCTCCTCCTCCTCCTCCTCCTCCTCCTCCTCATGATAATTCGCTGTCCTGTTGCGATCGTGCGCACTGTGCACAGTCGCAACAGTTGCGACACACGCGCGGGCCCTGTGGAGCCACACGCACATGTCAGGACCCTACGCAGGTCCTGATTTCGCGTGCTTTTTTTTCGCCCAAACAAAAATATTGAGCCCCAACCCCCAACACACTCGAAACTCACTGCGAGCGCTCATAAAAAACATGAGCTTTCATGACGCTCGTAATTTTCATGAACGCTCATGGTTGTTCATGAAAATTCATGAACTTACATGACTCGTCAGGATCCGTCATGACTCGTCAGGATCCGTCATGACTCGTCATGAGCCCGCAACAAAAACACATGAAATGAAACACGAAAACAAATGCGTACAATTACTCAAATGCATGACGTTATGGAGGCGGCTGGTTGACGTGCAAAATTAGTATTTTGCACCCAACAGCTTTTACCCGACCCAACCCAACCCGCCCTATAACCACCAACCTGGGGACGGGCCAGAGATACCCGTGCACCTTGGACGGTCCGGATCCCAAAATTACGGTCAATCTTGACCAGTCGACATGACCCGACCCATGGCGGTCTCGGGTCGCCCTAAACGGGACAGGTCAGGTCGGGTTTGTTAGAGACTAAGGACGAAGTGTACGAAGATTAGGGGCCTAAATTTCTCAAAATCGTTGGCTTAGAGTTCTGGACAGAATTGTCGACTTCACAAGAAACGTCGTCGACGAAAAACGCACCTTTGAAATTTCACCAATTTCGGATATATTGTAGCCCTAGTCCGTAGCTACCATTCGGAAGTTGAATCTTAGTAATAGGTGAAGTATTTCTTGAACTATTAATTTCGGCGCACTGGGGGTTATGCTGCCATTGAAACTTCAATAGAATCTCACAATTTCCACACAAGAAAGTTAGATTAGCTAGAAACCAGGTAGGATGGGAAGAGGAGGATAAGAAAGAAGGTACCCAAAGAGTCCCCAACCAAGGAAACCCCATAAGCACATCAAATCCTCTCCATATAGCAACCCCACTTTTAGTTTTGTCATTTTCCCAACCTCCACAATCAACCTCACCCAAGTAAGCCACATATGCCAACCCAATTTGATTTCTCCCAACCACTTGGCAGCATCTACAGTGATTGGGACGAATTTCTCAACCCCTAAAAGTCTGTACCTCATATTGAGTCACTTCACAACTTCTCAAACTCGTCGCATTCCAATCAAAACTTCGAACGATTATAACTTCGTCGTTCTTGCTCCGATCGCAACGATTCTTGGTTCTTCGGAAAGCTCTTGAATAAGGGAGTCACTTCAGATATCTGCTCAAGCCAAATAACATTCACACACAAACTCAGAGACTCCAAACCACACAAAACACAAATTCTTGCACACGCTCACACCACGCATGCAACGCACGAACATATGATGGGAGACAGACAGACGAAAATGCAAATGATAGCATCACATAACAAACTCCCCCTCTGGCTGCCTACCATCGTCCCACATGCCATAGCTCAAGCATGCACCCTCAATGCATACTCATCCCAGCAAGCTTCATGCCCTTCCAATGCTCAGGTTCAGCTAGGCAATGTCAGGTCACGTGTGGTTGCCCGTATAATTGAGTGCCCCAACCATGGAGTGAAATATCTTCTTGTCATTCTCACCCACCACCTCCTCATCAGCACAGGGCTCCACAGTGAACGCCGAAGGCAGTAAGGTTGCTGGCTATTCTCCATCCTGCAGCCCATACTTCTCAGCCAGCCCCTCGAAATACTTCCTGTGGTGCAACCTCAACACTCCCTTGTCAAGGTCCCTCTCCACATGCATCCCAAGGCAGTACTTCACATCTCCCATTTTAGAACACTTGAACTGCATCTCCAGCATCTCTTCCACACGCTCAATCATTGCAATGTCTCCTCCAGCTTGTGGTACCATGTGCGAAGAGCCTGCTTTAGGCCATAGATGGCCTTCTTCAGTCTGCACACCCTGCCGCTCCCATCATCCAACCCCTCAGGCTGCAGCATGTACAGCTCCTTCAGGATGATCCCATTGAGGAACGCAGTCGTGGTACTCATCTGCTTTATCCTCCATCCGAGGTTTGCAGCCGTTGCCAACGACACCTTCAGTGTCGTTCCTTTTCCCATAGGAGCAAAGATTTCGTCAAAGTCCTTCCCCTTTGTCTGCTGGAACCGCTCAGCCACAAGCCTTGACTTGTAACGGGTCTGCTCCCTATCAGGTCCATATTTGTGCCTGAAGATCAGCTTGGAAGAAATGGCTTTCTTCTGAGGAAGCAGCTTACACAGCTCCCACGTTTTATTCTCCAGCAGAGAGTCATACTCCTCTTTCACACTCTTCTTCCACTTCTCAGCATCGGGCCCACTCAAGGCTTCGACAAGAGTCTTGGGCTCAGGGACGACTGCCCAATAGCATTGTGCTATCTCGTCCTCATCACACTGCTCAGCCACACTCCCAGCCCATACCACTTTTGACTTGCCAAAACTGGGATAGGTCACTTTGTTAGGAGGGTGCACATCTCTCATAGGACGGTCAGGCGGACGTTGGGCACGTGGTGGAGCATCTTCCTGCTGCTAGTAGGCATGGGCATTTGGCCCGGACGGGTCGGGTCAGGAATGCTGAGAATGTCGACCCGCCCGGGTCGGGTCGGGTATACTCGGACGGGTCGGGTCGACCCGTGACCCGTCACTGTGATTTAGGGACGGGTATCAGCGACCCGCCGGGTCGGGTTGACCCGTCCCGTCTGGGTCGTGTACCTAGTCGAATGACAGGGATACCCGACCCGTTCTCTGATTAGGGTACACGTTGGAGAGGGGGATCAGTTGGTTTTGATGTTTTGTGTTCCTCGACATCTAGATCTAGTCTCTAGACCAGATCAATCTAGTAACTCTGCACCGCACCTACCAAGCCTCCTACAATCTTCACTTCAATGTTAGCACTAATTTGCAATTTATATTCAGGTTAGGCATAGGCGCGCCCGACATTTCGCAGTGTCGCGCGACCAGGGGCGCAGCAGCGCGATCGCGGCTCTGCATTAGTGCAGCAACATTGCGCCACGCATTGGCGCGATCGCATCCCCGCAATAGCGCGCTCGCGGTCCCAGCATTAGCGCGATAGCGGCCTTGCATACTCTGTAGCGTATTTTGACCCGACCCGACCCGACCCGTTCTGTAACAAACCCGGGTACGGGTCACAAATCGCCCTAGACTGGAACGGGTCGGGCCGAGTCGGGCTTGATGCCCATGCCTAGCTGCTAGTGCTGCTGGTGCTGCTGCTACTGCTGCTGCTGCTGCTGCTGTTGCTCCTCCACCTCAGGTTCTCCCCCATCCTCAGTCACCCCAGAGATCTCCTGTGACACAGAGACATCCACCCGTCTCGAGGACCGCTGCACCTCATCGACCTCAACAATCAGCGGTGTAGTAAGAAGTTGCTGCTGCTGCTTCCACTCCTTGTAGTACAAGGACACGAGGAACTTCACATCCCTCGAAACAGTCAGCTTATGGCTAGTCAAGTCCCATAGCAGCCATCCCTTGTGGTCCTTCGCAATTTCCAAGTGCACACCCCATCTCCCAGAAGCTTCCAACTTTCCCCTCTTCTCCTTAGGCACATGAAACACCACCATGCACCCAAAGGCTCTCAGCATGTTGACTGCTGGTGCACTCCCATACCACTTGGTATACAGGACCCACTGCTTGTCCCCCACAGTCGCCAGCACCTTGATCTT